ATTTAATACAAGTATTCCTTTTGGTAGAATTTAAAGAATGGTCTAATCACCTCTTGTGAGCTGGAAGAAATAAAATCTTAAAAGTTAGACAAAGGGTTTTTTTTTATTACGCTTGGCAGAGGATGATCTGCCACATGGTTTATTAAGTAGGGAGAGCAGGAAGAGCCATGTTGCTGAGGCGAACCATCAGTGTGGAGTGTAAAGCGCAGACTCTGAGCTATACACGCGGAAAGACGTATTTCTGCACAAGGACATCTGGAGTTCAACGCACAGTAATGGATTATTCCGGGTTATTTTTTTCCCTTGCCGCTACTGCCATGATCCATCTGTGGCCATGCAGAATGTGTCCTGTTGCATGCAAGGTGGGCTGCGGGACCAAACAACCTGCGGTAGTGCGGCTGATACTGCTTAGCTTGTCTAACAGATAACGGCACAATGATGCATTTTTAAATGTCTGACCAACCACCTGCTAATTTTTATTTAGTCTCTTCTCTTTGACAAAAATTCAAACCCATGACTAGTCATGTTTTCATGATATAAGATCCACGTTTAGCTCGTCAGTTTTCATTATCGTCATGAAAAACTGGAGCCTCAATTAAATAGTTGATGAAAACAACACTGATTGCATGAAGTTAAACAGATGTGCCCCCACCAGCATGCAGAGAGCTGATAGTAATATGTTGCAACCTCTTAAGTACAACATTTGACACACTCTAAAAGCAGATAAAACAAATACATTTTATCAGTCTGGTTGGTAGCTATGTGTCCAACCAATTGGTAGTTTTTTTAATCGTTCTATGCTGGTAAAAGAGGAAACAAATAGAAATTAAAGCAACTTTGACTCCTACTCCTTCATCCATTGCCAATATTAAGGGTCTTCGAATTTAAAACTACTAAATGCTAATCTTTCAACCAAGGTTAAGGCCAAGATTACCATGCTGTATATAACGAATTAATAAAAATAATTAGGAGGTTTTATTTCAGACAATTTTAAACAACAATAAATAAATCAACCAAATACACACAAAAGAGACTAGGTAACATCAAACCAAACACCAATTTCCAAACTGACTAAATTCACCTGAACATAAATAGAAACAAAACTCTCCACCAAATAAACCTGTCGGTATTTACAGCCAGAGAAATGACATTGATTAAATTAAATTGTCTGAAAAGGAGTATGAAGAAGTAAAATAAATTTTTCATACCCCCTCTCCCTCTAATTGCACTTAAATTAACTCAAAGTAGAGTAACCTTCCAGTCAAAGTTGTTTTTTTTATCTGATATTTACCCTCACACAAAAATATATATACATATTTACACAAATATATATATATATATATATATATATATATATATATATATATATATATATATATATATATATATATATATATATATATATATATATATATATATATATATATATATATATATATATAAATATATACATCTACATACATAACATGTAAACGAAAATAAACATACCTACACAAACACATTAGGCCAAACTCCACCTTTACACCCTTGTACACCAGCACTCAGATTACTGCGACCCCCCAAAACCCCCAATCATCAGTGCCACAGCCCAACACCAAAGACTCATATACTGTACATAATCATAACTATTACACACTGCATTTGACTACGGTCAGTCATATTAGTAAACCACCTTTTACAATTTTTATTGGTTGATAGAAAATCAATGGCTTGGTCACTTTCTGACCAATATATTGGTTAATATAACCATAATTGGTTTAACCAACTATATTAGTTATTTTTCCAACCAATCTATTATAGAGTGCAAAAGCTGGATGAAAATATGGGAGGGAGATCAGGAAAAGAGCAAAAATAGAGAACAGTCTGTGAGCTGTAGTGCTGCTTACCTGCTTGCTTTACCGCTGACAAAGCAAGCAGGAATATCTGCCTATCTCTCTCATATCTATTGGTGCTTTATTCAATCAATCTATTTGCAATCACTTCTTTCACTGTATAAAAACATGTTTAATAATGCTTGTTCTTTGGTGTTTCTTCTTGATCCAAAAGCATCCTGTCAATACCGCCACTGCTTTGGAAGACCTAAATCATTTTACAAGGCCAAAAAAACAGAAAACAGCTGGAAAAACAATCTTGAAATAAATAAAAAGTTCCTTAAATTAAGTATATATACCCTTAATTTGAGTAGGTAAATGAGATAGTTTGCCAATGGAATGAGTATTTTTTTCTCTTAAAATAAGATAGTTAGATAATATGAACTTTAAATAAGACAACGCAATTGTGTTTTCTAATTTTAGGTGTAAATTGTCTTGTTCCATTGGCAAAATTTCAGTTTTACCTCCTCTATCAAGGAACAAATGCACTTAATTTAATAAATAATTACTCATCTAGATTTTGATTTTTTCCAGTGAGTGAAAACAGGTGCATGGCACTGAGTGCGTCCTCTACGATGACAGAGTTTTGACATTCGTTGATTCTGAGTTTTCTGTGTCTGCATCCAAAAATAGATTTAATACTCCACCCACTGTCTGGTTGTTTCTTGGAGTGGACCCCAATGCACATGGGCAGGCAGGAGAAAGAAACAACAGGGAATGGAAAACGCATCATAACAAAAACAACAAAAACTTACAAGCAGGCTTGAGGTGAATGAGGCATAGATTACAGGTGGAAAACAGGCATGGACAAAGGCATGAAACATAAAAAAAACTGTAAAAACCAGCGAGGAACAAAGAGAGCTGAAGAGTATGGATAGTTTAACACACAGGTGTAAACAGGGAAGTTAATTGGCATAACACAGGTGGACTTAATGATGTTGGTTCCATAATTGCAGAGGCTGAGAGAGGGCACTAAAACATGAATGGAACTGAACAAGCATACGGACACATTTTCTTACTAAAGGAAAAATCATCTTCCAGATGAAACAGAACTAGAAACGCAGCATGAATAGAATATATGAATAAGTAACAAACTAAACCCAAAGAAATAAACTAATAAAGCAGCAAATAGAGAACATAAACAATAAAGATTTAGGCCAAGACCCTAATCTTTAAAACTAAAACCAAACAACTGCAGAAACACTCAAAGTTCTCCACTGCAGAGAAGATACTAACAGCTTCTAACCTTTTCACAGTCATAGCTAAAATATTCTGACCTATTCCTCTAATTTACCGTCTCCCGCTATGCTGTGAAAAGTATCATATTGTCATTCATGAGAAGCAGGCATTAGCACATTGCAGGCTTTGATCCTTTAGTGCCTGATTGTTGACCTCTGAGACACTGAATAAATGTCTGGACTGGATGTCCTGAATTGGCTAAATACAACAGACCTGCAGGCTCCCATCCAGGTGAAATGGAACACATATGAAATTGTTCCTAATTTAGAAACAAGTGCAAATATAACCCCTTTTTTATTGGGCACTGCTGTTACATATGAGTTGCATTAATAGAATAAAAAAAGACTGAAGATTATTTTTAGAAGGCTTGAGCTGAGGAGCTTTGATTTACGTAACCCGCTGAAGGTAAAAGGGAGGAGTTAAGATATGTAAATGCAAATATAGCCCCAACCACTGATTAACATTTATTACCCATTTTTAAATTAGAAAAATGTTACTTGGACATTTTGGACTGTTTTGGGAACAAACAGCACCCTCCCTTCCCTTTGGATGTGGTGAGGTGAAAAGACAGAGTCGGAACAGAGCCTGAGAGGGGAAAAAGGAGCATGAGTGAGACAGAAAATCTACGTCGTCATAAAGTCATGTGACTGCCGAGTTTCCTTGGAGACAGCAGCAGTGTAGTACATTGAGATGCTCGCCTGCTCAGTTGAGGACAGATTAGGCATCTGGCAGCAGCAGCAGCGGTTGGATGTGTTTTGCTACCGAGGCAGGTGCTCTGTCTTCTCACAGGGGTAAGTCTCACCTCCTATACCTTGTCCTCTACCTCCAGCTCATCATAAAGAAAGTCTGGCAGTGAGATGACAAATAAACCTTTTTCATAGGAATTTGATGCATGTTGCATATTAAGGAGGACATAGATGGCATGTGAAATCTTTAGAACTAATACTTTTTCTTTTGCTCTCCTAATGAAAAAATAATAAAAAGTTGTAGCAAATGGTTTTAGCAGATGACTTAGATCTGCTTTTTGCATATAATTCTGCCTGGAGGTAAATGCATAATCTTATTTAATGTTATTAAGTTTTGAAAAAAAGAGTATAGAACCTCTCGGGGTATTTATGCGCAGATATTATAGTTGTTAATTTAAAGGAAAAAGCTTTTTATTAAGGTTTTGTTTTACAAGTACCGTACATCAATGCAAATTTTTTGCTATTAATAAAAACAGTATTCTGTGGACAAGAGTAGTCTCATCTAACTATCTAAGCGGTGCAACCTGCTCCACAGCGCTTTGTCCTCTATGTTATAACAAGAGAAAACAAAATAGGATCAATGCTGATAACTACAGAGAACTGCAAGATTCAGATTCAGTGGATTCAAGTACAGAGATGAGTCTTTATGAGCGGCTGCTGTTTTCTGGGGAATGTTTTGATCCGTAATGAGACTCTGTGGTGTAAGGGCTTGGGTCCTGATGAGTCTCGCCATCCAGACACCATATGGGTCGTATTGCTTTGTTGACTCTCCCAAATTACATCCCAGAAAGTCACCTTGCCTTGCTTTTATTTTTATAAACTCAAGGTTTAATTACAGTTCTTCTTAGTTATTGTTTCTCTTGCACTTGTTAATTAGGGTTGTGATAATTTGCTGCAAACCTTTGAAAGCTGTTTGCAGTAAAGTTGACTATATCATAGCAGTTACAACACGCTCCATTTTTTTTTGTATGCATTCATAAATCTCTTCCTGCCCCTCCTTACTTCTTAGATACAATTGGAGTTGGAAGAGCTGATTTATGATTAATAATAAAAATGCAAATTGTCTTCCCTTCCATTCCCTGTGTCAAGCACCACAGACCTTGCAGTATACCATTAAGAACCTTTTAACTTTGTCTTGTTTTAGTCAGCAAAACCCAGCGACCAACAATATGAACAACACAATGCTCATGTCCTCTGGGGCACCCACTCCAACCAAAAGGTAAGCAAATAGAGTCTGGTATCTATTAAAATTCGTTACTTCAATTCTTTTCCATAACAGCTCAGCATGGGCTCAATGTACCTATTAAGGTATCCTGATGTTTAAAAGATTCAATACTTCATATACATTGTATTGTCTAACTTTCTCATAATCGTATTAATGAAATGCCAGAGAAAGCTTTCTCCAAGCATAATCCTGCCCCAAATATTCATCTGCATGAAGAAGGCGGATCAACTTTTTTTCATAACTGAATGAACTAAAAGCCAAACAACGTTAAATATTAAAGTACAGATGACAAGCTGAGTACAGGCTGGTTACCCAAACATGTACAGTATCTTAGACACTATCTATAACTAGACTATTAACCCTAAATGTATTTTATCTGATAGAGCAACACAAATCAGTCCATTATTGAGGAGTGGAAAGGAAAATTTAATTGTTTTCAAAATCTTCTGCAGTATTAATCTGAAAAATGTGACATGATTTTGTATTCAGTCACCCTGCCTCTAATTTTCCTTAAGAAACATCTTTCAAACCATCAGTATTTGGACAGCACTTCATTCGTAATTTGATCCACCAGTGTGCAGCTTAATTTCAGAGTAAATGCAGCTTTCTGTGAAAGACCACAGAGTGTGCAGTGAGATCAGGAAGTTTCCTAATAAATAACATCCCAAGCTTTTTCTGCATCTCACATAGATTGATGACACCTATAGAGAGTCTGGAGGAGCTGCTGATATCCACTGTTTAAAGGTACACTATGCAACCGGTGTTGATTTTCCAGCGAGGCTCCCCCCAGAGGGCGAAAGTAAAAGTGCACTGGCGTAAATATGCACAGCTGTTCTCCTGGTTTCTCCGTCAAGCCAGGCGCGGTTGTTTTGAGCTTAGCAGACAGGCGAACGCAACGAATGACTAAGCATCTGACGCGCTGCAAACGCGCTGCTGCTCGAGATGGAAAAATTGAATTTTTGCTGCTCGACGCGCCACGTCAACCAATCAGAGAAGCTGATCTGGGAGCTGGCAGGGAGAAAGACACAGCGCTGATGATCAGAGCGCTGTGATCACTCCTCTTAAACAGTTTATTGACGCCTAAATTAACTTAAAATGCAGAAATCTGCCGGCAGGATATGTTCGCTTTTATTATTCTGCTGCCTGCAGTTTGGATTATTTAGATGAAAAACACCTACCAGCCGCCGCGGTGAACCGTGAGGAGGCGACCCGGCCAGAGACTGCTGATGAAGGGATTCCTACTGTCGGCGCACCGCTGGGATCTGGGGGTCTGAGCGGCTCCGACAGAAAAAATATTGTAAGGCAGGATGATAATCTGAATGAACTGGCTGCACTGATTACGTTTTCAGGTGGATTTTCTCACTTAAAAACATATTAAAACTACTTTATTCCCACTGATAATAAAGCAATACAGCAAATATAGCTGCAAGGCAGAGAAAGGATAGTGAAGCTCCGCCCAACGCGCGTCAGACACACTTTTGCACCGCGCAGCCAGAGCAGCAAAGCTGCTTCAGCCGCGCGTCAGAACTAACTGGTACAAGCAGCAAAAAGGAAGCAGCAGACGCGATTTTGCTGATTTTGCTGCGTCCGGTGTGAAAGCAGCACTGCACAAAGATCGCCACCGTGCTAGCAAAGAGCATGCTTTTAACTGGGGGGTGTAGCAGTTCTCGCCGTAAAGCAAGACCGACTCTCGGGAGACTTCTGAGCCTGTGGGTGCGGGTCGGTGCTCCTGCAATTGCAAGTGCGGTATTTCCCCCACAGACCACCAGGGCGGCCGAGAATACCTTTGTTCAACCTGAAATGACTCATTTAATCATCCAAAACGTTATGGAACACATTAATTAACTGAAAAATGTTGCATAGTGTGCCTTTAAAGGGTTGAAGCTGTTGTCAGGAAGACTATCAGTCATGCACACCATAAATCCACCCATATACGAAAGAATGGGAAGAAAATGTTGATAGAAAACTTTTAGAATTTGAGTTTACAGTTTGTCAAAAAAGTTAAGAATACCTTTGAGGAAGTGTATACTTCCTATATATGTCATACCTTTTAAAGAACAGACATAAAAGTTTACTACTACTTCTATGCCAAAATCACATTAATCAATGCTTTAAATATAGCTTTAAATGTTGATGTAAAACCATTTTTTTTTTATCATGGTTACAGCCAATCCCTTTATAATCGCTCCTGGATTACGCCTGTGCATTGATTATCTCTGAATACCAGAAAGGAAGAACAGCAACATCACACATATTCCTGCCTCCGAGCAGCATGACCTTCTGGGTGTATTTTTAGTAGAAAATATGCTTTGCTGTCACAGTGAATATGCGATCACTCCAATCTGAAAGGATGACATGACAAAGAGATTATTATGGAACTGTAGCCTGGTCATGTAGCTGTCAGCAGGCAGAGGGTGGCTTTAAAAGCAGCCTGATTGCCCTCTCATTTCAGCCCATCTCATGTTAGGGCCAGTTCTGGCATTATTATTTACTCACAGCGGTAATGAAGCACTGTTGTTATGAATCCAGTGATGGAGAGCACTCAGAGGGAGCTGTAATGTATACACCCTTTCCTGCTGGTCTGTGCCTAGTAGCTTTTCCCTTTTGTGTACCGTATCGCTCCATCACATCTTTCCAGCAATTTGTGCTCCCAAGATCAGAGCGCTCAGAGACTCGGGAGCTCCTGCAGTGCATTAGTCAAGACGACTTTGTCAGAAACTCAGGGAGACCGTGAATGACGGGTTTGAATGTCTTATTCTCCCTTGTGCGCCACTAGGCAGAGTTATGAGTCTTCAACAAGGACTTTGTCAGCTGAAGGGCAGTAGGAAAAATTGTGAAGTTGGGGAAAGGACCCAGCTGTGTGCAAAAGGAATCAATCAATCGATTTAAAATATGTATTCTCACTCAACCTATAAAGTCTTCTGACTCTGATGCTCAAACTAATCAATTTTGTAGATATTGAGAGGACAAGAAATAGAATAAAAGATTACTTTTTGCTGTGTAGTGACAGTTTTAGGTCTTGAAGGCAATGGATGGCATCATGTTGGAGCTCATGTACCCAGGAAGGCAGCATCTCCTAGATTTCTCTCACTGTGACTGTAACATAGAGCCCCGATAACCTTTGTCTTGGCATTTTGCTCTATGAGTCAGTGCTGCTTTCAGAAGATGTTCTTGCGGGGGATGTTTTTACCTTGGTGGGGTCATAACAACTGTAAAACAGCCATTTGATGTAGTGTATTAAGGAATACTGAGACCATTTTGCAGTTATTGTAATTGGCTGTCTGTGACTTCCACACTTGTCTGATTAATTAGAATAATCTGATTGACCTGCAATCCTATTAATCACTGCTCTAATCCCAAACTGCAAGGACTAAGAGGAGAGGAACCCAGAACTCAGGCAAGATAGACAGTGGAATAACTTACAAAGCGTTTATTTAAATGACGGGCTGTGGATCTGCTGTATCATGGCTAGTGCGTCTAAAGCGGGAACGTCTATAGGAGAGAAACACAGGTTAGTAACCACAGTAATCTGACGGAGGATGATTATTAACATGTAAGTCACTAACCTGGTTTGATAGTTCATTCCGTGCCCAGAGAGCGAGGATGATTCCAGCCGGTCGGTTGACAAGCTGCAGAAGGCTGCAGAACTGACAGGAGGTCAGATCCGAGCAGATGAAGGAAGGCAAGGCAATCCACAGGGTGAAGCAGATCCAGGTTCAGTCCACAGAAGATTCCAACAGGAGTCTGAAGACAGGCCAGGCAAACAGAGCAGACAGGGGCAGGCAAAACTCAGGAGTCCAGAGGCAGAAACTAGTCAGGATCAGGTAATCAGAAACACAACTGGCTATGCTAGAGAATTATCACACAAGGCTTGAGAAAAATCTGGCACTGATGGCTGGGAAGAAGCAGTTTAAGTAGAATTGGGCAATTAAGCCAGCCATCAGTGACAATATCATGACACAAACAGTTCATAAAGTCTTTTTTGATGAATAACTTCAGAAAAGCGATACTAGTGGTGAAGCAAGCAGCATCAAAAATGACAACCCCAGGTTTGGATAAGATAAGAAAGGACATGATTTAGAGTAGAAGGAAGACATGATGCCTAAAACAAGTCCCAGTTGTTAAAGAGATTGTAGAATCCCTGGCAAATAGGTACAAATGAAGTGGTGATGAGAACACAGCAGGGGGATCTATCTCTCTGAGAGATGGGGACAAAAAAATACCACTGTACGCCTTCAGTTTTTCACAATATAGCCACAGACTTTAGTGTATTTTATTGGGATTTTATTGGATAGATCAACACACAGCAGGGAAAAATTTAGATGTTGAAGAAAATAAAATCAGAGCCACTTTAGTGATTACGGTACATAAAAGTCTCCACCTTTTGAGAAAATGTAATTTTCTGTCATTCCATTGCAGTCAGATTAGATCAAAAGCTAAGATTATACGTATATTAGATTTAGGTCTGTACTTTCTGGGCCAATTTAATGCATTAATGGTCTTTAAGCTAAACTTTTTCCTTGTAAATCAGTCTGTATGTTTAGGTTTGCTTTTTTACTGGAAAATCTACGTCCATCCCAGTCTGAGACAGTTTTTCTACCAGGATTCCTGTATTTAGCTCCATCCTTCATCCCTTAGACTCGGTTTTATTTTCATCTGAACAGAATAGAACCACGTGTTTGTGAGAAACTGCAAATAGGACTTCTTAACGTTGTCATTAGTGGGCTTCATCTTGTTACTCTGCTATAAAGGCCAGATTTATGAAGTAGAGGATTAATAGCTGTCAACAGATTGTTCCATCTGAGCTTAGGGTCTCTGTAGCTATGGGCCTCTTGGCTCCCTCTCAGATCAACACTGTTCATGCCCAGTCTGCCAGAATATTTAGATGGACATGTTTTGGTAAGCTTGCATAAATGCCATACTCTTTCTGTATTTTTCTGCTATTTTACTTTTATAAAGCTGTTTGTTCACTAAGGCTCAATAACGAACTACTG